GTGGAAAAAACGCTCGCACCATGCCAGCAAGGCTTGAATGGCGGTTGGTCACAGCTCAGCTCAGCGTGAGTATTCCCAGACCTATCAAAACATGGCCATAGGGAATACCAACATCTCTTTTACCATCTGCCAATCTACCATAGTGCATCAACACAGACAAATCACATAAATGGTTTGAACAACAGCAATAAGCTTGCAGAGTGGAGAGACCACACAAAGTCATGGTTATTACTCTCACAGTAGATACGTATTTATTCATGTCACTTCCTGCAGTTACACAGAGAGATTGCTGTTGTTGTGATAGCTTTAACAGCAACAGAAACATCTTTGATTGACATGCGAGTGTGTGGACAACCAACCAAAACTGTTCATTTACTGCTCTTTATCCAGGCCATAGCATATACTTACACAATACAGGCCCACAGACACATCCATTACAACAATCTCTTTGCATTTTTATTCAAAGTCTGCTTACTGACTGTTCAAACTTAATGTATAAACACCATGTTCTTCTATGCTAGTGCCTGCAATGTCCCTACAGTTAGCACTAACATTTTATTGCCTGTCACATATGCCACTGCTCAGAATAGGTCAATGGTACTCTGACCTCTTGATGGTAATCACTGCCTTGGCAGATTTATGAATCACATCTCATTACCTTGCAGATTTTGCCTGACAGGATGCAGTCAAGAATGACTTATGATCACAGTCACCCTGCACACAGTACAGTGCTGGAAAACTCCAGATTAGTTTTTCCTGCATTTCACTCAACTAGAACAGTCATATTGCATATAAGCCAGTCTCAAAAATGCATGGAAACAATTAGTCTAAAAAAACTGCATTGCAGAACCAATCCATAGTTTTAAGGGCAGTGCCATGCAGAAGTCACGTGCTTGTAAACAGTGTTGTGCCATATAACTTTGCAAAGGACATTCATTTTCAATGTTTTAAAAAGCTCTCTCTCTGTTACAAAGTGATTTGTTATATCCCCAGTTTGTTTCACTATAGAGGAGAATGGGGGGAGAGCATCATTTCAAGTAAGGCCTTGAAGTAAGAGACGTACGTTTGTTAGTGGATGCTGTTCAAGCAAATCCTTTAGATTTAGAGGAACAGTTGGACAATGGATAGGCACTATCCTATCTCCAATAGTCTGGATTGTGACTATACTATATATAACACACCACAGTTTGCCAATGTTTTGCATGACTTCCAACCGTTTTCCTTGGAGCTGCTGGGTTTATATGAATTTCACTGAACTGAAATATACATGAGAAACAATCTTGCATAGATTTCAAATGCACTTGGGGAAAGGAAATCCATCACACAGTTTGAACAATCTGCTATGAATGGAAAAAAGTTATGCTCCAATATAAATATATAAAGTATAAATTCACACTATAGCTTTCACAACATAATCTTTGCTTATCATTTGTCTTTTGAATTTAATTAACTAACAGCATAACTTCTGAATGCGATGTTTTGTAAAAAGCTGGCTATCAATTATTGGGAGTCACTGCCCTTGAATGCACCACTGAGGAGAGTTATAAAAATAGTACCTGCTCACAGCTGCAGTTCACATGGCAATAATGTAACTTTGGCAAACGGTAAAGGTGAAAAGCTCTCAAAGCTCTATAAACTGATTTTCTTAGTTTTCTATAAATGTGTTTTCTTCAGTATAAAAGCCAACCACCACCATTTAAAAAAAATAAAGTACAATATTGTCATACTACAATATTAATAATTTCAAAAGATACTCTAAAGCTGTAATAAAGATGTTTATATATATACCAATAAATGTGTTCTAATGTCCAATATGTTTTTTAATTAAATATATAGATAATTCCAGATGCAGTGTTAATATAGCTTCATCTTTAGTCTTTGATGAAAGTCATTTATATCCTCCATCCTTCAGCAACTGCAGATAATCCAAAAATAAGATGCACATAAAGTACAGACGAGAACGCTCCAAAGTTAGGCTAAATTTTGGCGATGGAAAGACTGTCCATTTTCAAAGGGACCTCAAGATATCTGAATGAAAATTGGTTCTATGGGTATCCAGCGGGTCTCCCCTTTGCAGACATACCCACAAAACATTTACTTTTTTGCATGTGATATAAATGTGTTATTTTCACCTGGTGTATGTGAATATCTCTGCATACTTGGGTCCATAAAGAGTATTGGAATTGCATATTTTGGGAATGACTGGAAAGCTCCAACACAACACAGTTCCAACACGATCACTTACTTTCACTAAATGGATCAATAGAGATTCTGAAAATGTCCCTGAAGAAGTTGAAGTGCCTCATTCGTCACTATCTCTGAGGCGTGGCAAAGCGTGCAACATGGCATTAGCACTATGGCTGGGTTTATGGCTGCAGATGGAATGACATGTTAGCAATTGAGAGGCTACAGGATTACACATGTAAGCAGATCAGCTTCAGTCCTAAGGTGATTAGATTGAGAATATCAAAACAGGAATTATGACTGAACGAAATCTGTATTGAATCACTGAGAATGGCATCGCTGTGTGTGTGCTCAATGGGGTTGGTTCACGTTAAATTGGGGGTGGGGTAGTTAGAGAGCACAGCTTAAGTATGTTGTGGCAGGAAGACGTGCCAATTGTCTTGTATGATCATCCATCCTTAATCTAGAAGGCCTCTGAGCTAAAGAGGATTTTGAGAAATGTTTTTACAAAATGCAGCATGCCTGGTACATCACAATCTATCACTCGATTGAAGTTCAAAAGCCCTGAATGGCATGGTGAAAAACCTGTCGTCCAGTTTATCATTTATCTAAATATATTTAAATAGTAATATTTCACCATCGCTATACTGTATGTATTACATTTATGTGAAATAACTGAGGTCTGATGATAAACGTCACATTTGGAAGGTAGAATCAGAAGAAAACTTTGCATCTCCAACTTCAATGGACTTGTATCCTTGAACAAGGGCAAAAACAAGCTCTCCTGTTTATTAAAAAAATGCTGTTGCTGCCTCAGAAAATGTCACAGCAGAGGATTTTTGCAGGGACAGGCTTTCATTAACTGTTTATGTGTGTGGATTTTGCATATAAATGCATGTGAATGCTCTGTTGGTGTGTGTGCACTCACGGCACCAGGGGTAAGAGCCATTAATGTTTATTCCTCAGCTCAGCTTGCTGTTCAGTTGTGTGACAAGCATTCTGTTTAATAACTGGCTTTCATTGTCTTACCCTCTGTACTGGTACAAATCTAAAACTGTGGACATGTGCATCCAGGCAGATAGCAAAGGCAAAGCCAGGTAAAGGTTTACACACATGCATTATTGAGTGGTCTCTTGGTAATTTGTTAGATCGGCCAATCTTCTGCTATTATGTACACTCAGCTTGTTCCTAAATATGAATGAGAAGATTTCTGCTATCAAATGGGAATGTTCCTTTTAAGACTTAATTGTCTAAATATGTCCAGTGTGTATCATGGATACAGTGTTGTAGACAGTGCTCTGTTCATTCCTATGGAAGCTGCTCAGTGGCGCGCAAAGCCAAGAAGCCACTTCCTGCTGTAAAGAAGTTACAGGGATGAGAGCATACTGCACACCAGAGACTTCCGCTGGCTAAGCTGGCTAACTTCCAGTATAGCCATGCGTTAACTTAAATGGGGATAAAATTATTTAATGATGTAGATCTTCTAGACTTTCTGCTTGTGAAATGAATCAGGGCTATCAGGGGATATCCACTGTTTTACAGCTGCTTCTTTCACAATGTAACCTTATGGGCCAGTGTGCATCATGTGACGGACCCCATTTCTGTAATTACACGGTTCAGCCACTGTGTCAAATTGGCTTCAAAGCCTGGCAATATTACTGGGGGCTTGGTTTTCTTTCCTTAGAATGAGTGGTTCTCATCAGGGAGCAGGTCCTCTTCTACGGAGTCCGCCATGTTTCTACAGTAGCCCAGAATGGACAAACCAATCACTAGATATAGGGCCTTTTGGGTTTTTTTGCTACATCCATGATCACTAAATGTATAGACAAAACCTGTTCACTTTTACATACCCTCACTGCAGAGATGCTTCACCACTTGATGGTGGTGCCCATTTTTGAGCAAAGATAAATACTTATTATATATTCAGGAGACAAGACATCCTATTAATGGAACTGAGATAAACAGTTGTTTTTCCCACATTTCCATTTATGTTAAAGAGCCAAACTTATGACAGTTGATCAGTCTCCCTTACAGTCTCCTGGCAACCATGATATACCAGTATGTGTTACAAAAAATAAATATTTTGTTAACACATCATGTTATGTATGTTGATACAGCCAGATTCAGCTACCAGTGCAGTTTTGTCTTCATTTGTGGAGTTTTTCCCAGTACTTAGCAAGCACTGAGTAGTGCTCACTCACTGTGCAGTATGCTTGCAGTGGGTAACCAGTGCTTAACAATAAAAAAGAGAGTGCAATAATAGACCAGAAGGTTTTGAACTTGTAACTAGACTGAGCCACCAAAGCAGATGTATAATTTGTTATATTTTCCCACCAAAGAATTTGGTTTTTAAATACAGCTGACCCGTCAGAATGTAGCCATATTTTCCTGAACAGAAATGTGTCTGAACCACTTAGTTGTACTGCCTGTAAGTCAAAACCTGCACACTCTTGGGACAATATACCAGGGACAAATCAGTCATACACGGAGCAACATACAACATACGATTTAACCAATCATGTGGTTAATCTTTTCAGCCAGTGCACTATATTATTATGTTTTGAGAAGAATATATTAAGGGAATATTGTAGGGTTAATTGAATGTTGTAAACTGAGACCTGCAACGATTGTTCAAAGCTTATTGCCAAAAATGAATATTTCAGTGGAATCTATGTGCTCAGAATTGGATTGTTTTACTAAGAGTTGTCGCTGTAGTATGGTATGCAGTGGATCCAGTTTATATTTGGTCAAAACATTTTAACATGTCCTTATTCATTCTTTTTCTCCAAACCTCCCACTATCCTCTGACTCCTCAGCTCCCCCCACGTTCTCGGATACACCACCTCAGTACGTAGAAGCCAAGGAGGGGGGTAGCATCACTTTGACCTGCACGGCTTTCGGCAACCCCAAACCCTCGGTCAGCTGGTTGCGGGAAGGCAGCCTCATGGTCAGCAGTGCCAAGTATAAGGTATGTAACTATATCATGTCCTTATGTGACATCTGACGATTCATTGTGTTACTCCTTTGGTATATTTTGAATGGAAGCACAACAGAAACAGATGGACAGGCATGCAGGCAAAATAGACCGTAGCAGTAGTAGTAGTTTTAGTAGTAGTAGTAGTAGTAGTAGCAGCAGCAGCTTGCTGCTTCTCTGATACTTTGGTGTCGCAATTGTCTACTCTGGACAGCTTTGCTCCATG